AAAAGTATTTAAAATTTATTGGTAAATTACCAACAAAAATTTACTATAATTATCAACGTATTACCAAGGGAATAGAATAATGAAGAAAAAAATTTACTAACTCCTTTTCAATTCCTTAGTAAAGGTACTAACGATATACTAACCAAAAATTAGTTGGTGAATTTACCAACGAAAATTTCAGGGTCATGTTTCAAAATTTTGTAACAACATCTTTGGGTGTTTACCAATTGATTTTTGGTTGGTAAGTTTACCAACAAATTAAAATCGGTTGGTAATATTTACCGACGAGCCTTTTAGCAACAGATTAATATAAGTTGGCATTTGGTTGGTAACTCAATTTGCCAACCAATTTGATCAATTTACCAACAAATTTTTTTGTTGGTAATTGGGGTTCCTTTTGTAGTGTTGTGTCAATAATTGTAATATATATACTATGCAATTATGTTTCAACCACTTCTAGAGAATATATACTTACTATTCTAAAAAGAAATGTTTGTAATGCAAAATCTAAGCTCATGCATGAGCTAGTTATTTAGATACTGTTGCAATATTATGAATCTGATAAGATTTTGGTATGTTCAGATATGTCAAAATACATGTATTTCGAGATCATGGATCAAAATTAGGTTTATTAATTTGTTCTAGATACATTGTATCCAAGTGAATTCGCATGTATCTGACTAGGATACATAGAAAAATCTTGTTCGCATTTGATCTCCCTTTTCGTTTTCCACTCTCCTATCTTGCTCGCATATCTAGTATGCCAGATACATGCGAATCACACTAGAATCATATATCTAGTGTGATTCGCATGTTTCTGAGATACATAGACAAATCTCACTCGCCTCCCTCATGTTCTCGCTCGCCTCCCTCTCCCTATTTCAATGAATCTAGTAGCAAAAAACATGTCTCTAGGTGTATTTGGCTAAGATAGAATGTAATTATTTCTAACTATAGGAAAAATAAGTAAATATAGTAGAAATGTTTATTTTATTAGATCATTTCTCCAAAATTTATTTGGGTTATAAGATAAAGTCATTTATCTAATTAAATACTAGAGGAAATGGCCCCGTGACACGGCCCAATGTTATAAAAAATTGAAATTGTTAATATATATCTTTGTTAAAACAACAAATATCAAGATAAATATGTATATTTATTTATTTTTCAAATAAAAATGAAGAACTGTTAATATCCTAACTAAAGTCTAAACTCTTAATTATTTAAGGAATATAGCAAGAGTAAGATATTTTTCAACCTTATCGTGGTGAAAGTTGAATTTATTATCCTTTTCATTTAATTTTATATGATATTGTTTTTTATATAAAATTATTGTATATGTTTTAATAATTTAAATTTAAATTTCAAAAACTTATCATTCAACTTTAAAGATTTTATTTTATCAAAATCTTGTACATAGAAACATATAGTCATGAACCCGACTTAATAAATATCTCTTTGAATTTCGTTTTACTTGGTCCATATTGACTTGACATAACTCATAAGAAAATATTTATTAGAAATTTATTTATCATATATTAATTTTATTAATTATGCATTGAAAGTTAAATTTGACTATTAGTATTTAATATAGTTACTTAATCATAAAGTCAATATTAAGAAAAAAATAATAAATTTCTCTTAATTTGGTAAAATAAAAATAAAATTTGGTATAAGAACAAAATTAAAAATATATAATATTTATTTAATTTTTATTAATATAAATTATCATTTTTTAAAATGACCTAATTATATTAAATTTCAGGAATACTAAATTTAACAGTGATAATAATCTGAATTTTCAAATGAAAGGTATAATGATGAAATTATTTACTTTTCATGTGATTCAAATGAGAAATTATATGGAAGACATTCAGAATAACCATTATCATTAGAACAAAAAAAAAAGAAAAAAGAGTTGAGCATCTTGTACATTTGTCGAAATAGAAAGTTCAATGGCCCTACAAATTTAATGC